TGACCTCAAATTATCCAGCTAATTATTAATGTTCACATGATGTTCACCGGAGCCTCTGGGACTTTTAACGTGGAGTTTAATTAGGACAGCGAGGGCAGGTCAGGTTGACTGTAGGAACGACAAGGTCAGAGTTATTTAGATTTTTAGGGCTTTGTAAATATATAAGGTACGCCATTCTGACTAGTGTTTAATGCTTTGCTCATTTTTAAGATGGAAATAGATGAATTATGTAATTAAACATCCTATCAATGAATCCCGTAAGTTAGCGTCCCTAATCAAGGCCTCGTTAGATTTATGAACTCCAGCCTTTGCTGGGAAGAAGTAATTCCAGGATGGTGAGACACGGACTAATATTCCACCTCGTCCAGATCTTTGCAGCTGGAGATAAATGACCTCCAAATTTAACGCAGTAGAACCAGGAGGAATAAATAACCATGAGGGATGTGAAGAGGTTGAGATGATAAAAAAAATCTTTTATTCCATCAAGCATCCATCAACCCACCGACACTGGGAATTTGTAATTTTAGATAGAAGAAAGTGGAAAATAAAAATAAATAAATAAATCCTGGTAAATCCGATAGGAGAGAGACACGGGAAATTTACACAAACTAAAAGATTGCAGATGAAATCCCGAATTAATTCCCATTTCTACATTAGTTGATGTTGGGATTCTGCTCTGTTGGGTGAGAAAGAGAAAATGATCTTTTTCTATAACAAATAGCAAATTGATCCGAATACAACTGAAGTGGATTCAAGACTCATTGATTTATTTTGACTGAAACTTAATTTTCTGCTAATGAGGCAAAGATTTAGAGTTACGGAGGCAGAAGTCTGTAGGAAAATGTAAATTCATAATTCGATGTTGTTTTCCAACTTTAATAAACATGTTTTGTTAAGTTCATGTCACTAAAACTCTTTTTAATTCGTAATTAACACAAACTGTTTTAACTATGGACTCATTAAGAGAAAAATTGACTGTTTTAACACTGAAAAATGTTAATCCAAATGTTTCAGAAATGGTTTGTGGCATCAGATATTGGTGTTACTCCATCATTTAGCAGAAACCTAGTTTGTGTGATAAAAACCGCCAGCTGTTACAGGTATTGTGTATCCTAGAGATCTATACCTAACGTTGCAGTAGCAAAAGATTTTGTCCCGTAGACCAGGTCGGATTATTTTTATGTCTTGCCAATCACAGCGCGAGCTACATTTGTTAGGCGAGCTTCACGCTAGAGCTGTGATGGAGTAAAACTACAAAGTGGTATCAGCTCAGGAACTGTTGTCATTTGAAACAGCTTTGGCATCATTTTTGGATTATTTAGACCTGGGCTTTCCTTTGAGACATGAGCAGACAGAGGTACTTAAGTCGTTTATTTAGAAAAATGATGTATTTGCTGTTTATTATTTGGTGTATGGCGAGCTGCTCCATTGACTGATATCCATAGTGGTGAGTACTTAATGCTGTTTGTTGCTGTGATTGATCCTGTCCAGTTGTGTGCAGAGACAGTTTGAAAGATAACTGTGGATTCTGCCTCACACTAGGGATGGGTACCTTTGACATTTGAATCGATTCGGTACTAATTTCCGATACCTAGGAATCAATACCGGTACTTAACGGTACCAATTTTAGATACTTTTGAGTGTTTAATATTTTAATTCTCTTTTATAATTAAATAAACATTTTTCTCAATTTATAATCATATTTGATAAATATCACGATAAATTACATACAACTGTTTGTATTTTAACATCATCCTTGTAGTTTTATAAGCTGATAATTAAACTGAAGCAAACATCTTTACTGTGAACTAAATTTACTGTATATCTTCATTCCTTTTGCCGTCCTTTTTCATTTGATTTTTCCCACTGGGAAGTTAGAATTTCCGAGGAGAAAGCGAACGCACCATTAGCGGAATGGAAGCTAACATATCAAGCTAACGTTATCTTAAACATTTTATTTACCTATCGGAGCAGATTAAGATGAGGATGTTTCACTTAGATCGTTGTCGCTGGTTTCATCATCACCCAGTTACCCGTCACATTTAGTGAAGTGGACCCAAGCTTTAGCGTACGTTCTTTCTACCATGCTGCTCTGTTTACAACTTGCTCGCAGCGACCGACAACATAACACTCTTGCGCATGCGCAGCTGTCTAGGCAAGTTCTCGTTATGAAGGACGGGTACCGAAATGAGGCACCGTTTCAAATGACATGAATCGGTGCTCAGTCGGTACTATGGAATTCGGTCGGTACCTTAAAAAGTACCGAATTCGGTACCCATCGCTACTCACCACTGGGTTGTTTCAATGGCTTGTGGCCAAACTATATATTTACTATATATATAGGATGACTTTCCAGATGTATTGTGACTTTTGATGCTCTAGATTGGTGAAAAATGGTATACAGTAAGTAGCTTGTATTTATGTAGTGCTTTTTAGAGCTCTTCCTTCACTCAACCTGTCTGATTCTCGTGGAATCCCACGGTTGTGCGACCTACTTGGAGCCTGGCTTAGCCCTCTCCCCAGGACCAAGTCCCAAACCAAACATGGTGCAGTTCTGTTCAGAGGGAGGAGGAATGCCGGGTGCTGTAGCACTCTGTTGTGACCTCTGCAATACATAGTTTTAACATATACATATATGTCCTGTCCAGAATATATATTTATTATATATAATAATATCCATAATGTCTCGTCATGGTTGAAAAATAGTTCCAAAATGAAAGTTGAAGTGGCGTCTTTTCTGGCATTTATTGAATTCAACGTCTTTCAGTGCATCTCATTTAGATGTTTAATGACAGTCAGTGGGTGTCTTATTACTGTGTTACTCGGCAATAATACAGTACACAATAATATGTATTACTGTTTCACTGTTAAAATTTTTTAAATGACATCTGAGTCAGTATCTCATATGGTCTAGCCTGGATTTGAACCAACCCACTGTGCAAAGACCTAGTTTGGATGTCCTGCAGACGTGGTCTGGACCGACGGACTCAGTGTAGATGACCGTTTGCAGGGAAGGTCCCCTGTGTGTAAGTCAGGTGCCTCACTAGTTGAGCTATCCATTTGACACTTGAAAACTGATAAATATCCATATTTTTCTCTACTAGTGGAATTTGTGCTCCACCCAGTGGATTTGTGATGTAATAAAGCCAGGAAGTTTTGGACAGACGTTTTTTATCTGCTACTGATTTACAGCAATTTGAATGCAAAAATACTCAGAAATGACATTTTGAGCTTAAATGTCTGTAAATGTGTCCTGTAGCACAAGAAAAATGCCCCAAGAATGTGTTAAAAACAGAAAAAACACAATTTTCATTAGAGTGGGTCTTTAAAGTCAGTTTGTGTATATTAATGATGGTGTTCCACAGGGTTCTGTGCTTGGTGCATTATTGTTTTCCCTATACATGCTCCCTTTAAACAACCAGTAGCCCTAGCAATCTAGACAGACAGTAGCCAAAGCTAAAAGGTTTTACTCTGCATGTTGGTCTAGCCACCCTTGGAACCTCAGCAGGTCTACTATTGGCCCAATCAGTATTGTGTTATGCTAATAACAGTGTGTTGTTGGTTTGGTGAACCAATCACAGCAGTTAATTGGTTTGTTGGGTGGGATGATGCGACGGAGCGGAACAGCTAAGATGGCGGCTTGTTTGAAATGGCCTTGGAATCACCTTTGTACTTTTTAGACTTGAGCTTTTCTTTGAGTCAATAGCAGATTGAGGTACTTAAAAGTGTGGGTAACTAGTTTAATCAACTTGCAGCAGTCCCTAAATGAATGCCTTGCAAGCCATATTCGGGGCAAAAAAGCCTACAAGTGCTTGGATCAGCACGGACAAGTCTGCTGCAACAGAGAGTGGCACAGCATGGCTGGATTTGGAGTCTTATTTGCTGATATTTAGACATCTCACCTTGGATTTGATAACAGCAACACGACCCTATTGCAACGTGGATGTTATATCTCTACAAATAAGCCTGGAGGAGTTCTGCTGTGTGGTGGTGTTGCTAATTCTAACGGTTAGCTCCTACTAGTCAGGACTTTGACGATTCCTGGACACTAATAAAACAGCAGCCTTCCCTATCACAAGCTGTCAGCCTTTCCAAATTACCCACTTTCTGCTATTAATGGGTAAAGCAAACTATGTATAAATATTATGCTGTTATGATCACCAGTTTCTACCTTCTCCTGTTCCTGCTCCACTTCCCTGCAGAGAGGGGCAGCCCCTCCTCCGCTCCTGCTCCTCCTTCCAGCTGTGCTCAATCCCTAATCAGCTTCTGAGTTTTTAAAAGGGCGCGGCCAGAAGAACCAGGAGGCAGAAAGAGTGGGGAATACCTAGAGAGTGGATGAAATCCAGGCACACTTAGTTTTGAACCTATGTAATTTCATTGAGTTTGGTTTTACTTTGAGTTCTGTGGAACTTTTGGAGAGTGTGCTCCATAGAGGTAGGAAATTGGTTAGTTTGAACCTTCTTCCTGTGTTTGCTCAGTGGAGCCTTTGTAGAGGTTAAGTTAACCTGTTGGTTGTGTGTGCTCAGTGGAGCATAAGTATTGCTTTTGGTGTGTTGGCTCAAAAGCGCTTTGATTTAGTAATTATTACTGTTTTGTTTACATTACCTTAACAGCCCTGTGCTCGCCCTTAGTTGGTTTGGACTTAATCAGTTTACTTTCAATTTTAACCCAAAAAGGGGAATAGCAGAATTTGTGAGTTTACTTTGACTTATTGGTTTAGTATATTAGTGGAGCTGAGCTCCAGCTTGCGTGTTCCCTCAAGTCCTTGTTTTTCCCTATTTAGGAGGTCACCTTTAGTTCTTGTATTTAACTGGCCTAGTAACTTTGCATGAGTTTGGTCATTTATTTGTTATAAAATCGTTTGCTTTTAAAATCCTGACCCCGCGCCTTTTATGTTACGTCCTTCACCCATACCATCACCAGTCATAACGTGCATATAAATAAATTGGCTTATCGACAGTATTTCATGGCAACCAAAAAGGAAATCCAATCCCTGAAGACATTTGAAAGCAATATCTTAAAAACAGCTCACCATTAGCGTTAGCAACTCCCCAACATGGCGGAACTCCTTCAGGTATGTGTTGGAAATAAAACATCAGCGTTACAGAGCAAATGGAGTCAGCGGTAGAGCTGTGTTGCTGTTAGCCAGTCAGAAGCGAGATGTCAGAATACCAGAAACTAAAACTCCAAATCCTGTTGTTTTCTGTTCTCCTCTGCTCTGTCTAACTTCTACCTACTGAGCAGGAGCACCAGAGTGTTTAATGCTAGAGACCACTGCAAATGAATTTGAAAAAACAAGTGACTTTGGTCTTTAAATGTCAGATTCTCAGACTCTCTGTTTGTCCAGTTTTCAATTAACTGGAATGTGTTTTACCAAAAAACAGCTGGAATTTGGGCCGGCCATCTCCACCAAGGAAAACTGTTGAACTTAAATCCCATTCTACAGGTTTTTTAGCTGGTGTTTTATTTAAAAGCGTAAATAATACAATATATTAAATCTAATAAGATGGTTTATTTCAAAAGTGGCATAAATTTAAGGTTTATTACTACAAGAAACCTTTCATGGTAACATTTTGTTTCCTTCCAAAGCAGAACAATAAGTGTAACATTTTATATCTGACTCCAGTTCCACCTCAGATGCGAGTTATCAGAGGGTTTCACTGATCCTGGATCAGATGCGCCTCTTATGGTTTCTTTTTACTCAAATGTTCTACAACACCTTGGCAAGGATCAACAAAACCAGTGACTCTCTTTAATATCAGAAATGAAAAACCTGCACAAGTTCTTTGGGATTTTGAAGAATAATTCTCTTGTTGCAGCATTCATCACTGCAGAGCTTCCAGTTTGCTGTACTCCATCAGTATTCCGAGGTGCATGCTGAATTGTACTTTCCCAGACTCTAAAACACGCTGCTTGCCGTGTCGCAGTCCTTGCTGATGTGGGACGTGCTGGGCAGGGACTTCAGGTACTCCATGTGCCTCCTGGCATCCTCTTGGTTGTGTTTGATGTAGTAGACAATGTAAGAAGTCACCATGAAGAACCAGCAGAACATGGCAACAAACATGGCCACGTCTGTAGTTCTGTGATGAAAGTTGCAAAAGTTGATCCCTGAATCCAAGACCTGGATCACGGGCTGGCCCGTGTACTCCTCCTGCACCGACGTGTGGCAGCTAAACTCGCTTACTGTTTCAGGGTCGAGTCTTAGCTCCCTCAAAACTTCCTGCATTGAGCAGTCACAGTGCCAGGGATTATTGGAGAGGCGGACTCGGGCATGAAGCTTGGTGAAGGTGTCCTTTGGGAGGCTGCTGAGTTGGTTGTTTGAAAGATCCAAGATCCGTAGGCTGTCCGAGACTCCCTGAAAGGCGCCGACCTCCACACTCTCCAGAGAGTTGTGGGACACGTCTAGCTCTCTGAGGCAGTGCAGCTCAGCGAAGGCCTCCTTCGGGATGTGTCTGATCCGGTTTGATGAGAGCAGGAGAACCACAGTGTCCTTCGGGAGGTTGCTGGGAATGCTCTCCAAGTTGTGGGAGGTGCACTGCACCACCATTCCGTTTCTCTCTGAGCAGTGGCACATTTTAGGGCAAGCATGGACTACAATGGAGGACAAGAGCAGAAAAAACCCAAAAAGGAAAATAGAACTTCCGGAAGGATGTTCTATGTATGCTCCACCTCTTGGAGAAGCCCCCATTAGGGGGCGTGGGACTCTGAAAATGTCAAAGTTTCAATCTTCTGTACTGTCCCGGACATACTTGTTCATCCCTTAGCTGAACATCTGTGGGAGTCATGATCCATAAGCGAGCTTCAAAGAGGGCATGAGTCCAAAAGTTCTGATTCTTTATGGTCAAAGATCAAGATGGCAGGAGGAAAAAGTGAAAAAGAATCGTAAAATATTTTAGGGTTGGAGGTTGAATCTAGAAAATTAAAGAGACAAAAGGTGAAGGTGAGATTTGTCAAATTTGATGACATCTCGTCATTTCCTGGTAAATGGGTTTGTTTTATCCTGAAAGAAGAGCAGTGAAGTTCAGTATTATCACAATAATGACATGTTTCTGTAGCAAACACCCCAAAACTCACATTTCATGCCTTTGGAAGGAAAATGACAATGTATTAAACATGGAGTTATCTCATCAATATGCAGCAGATGAACTTTGAAAACACAAATTTGTGTCTAAATCAAAGGTTGTATGTGATCTAATCGGCATTTGTGGAAAGACAAGACCAGAAAGCAAATTACAATCACTCCGTGACAGTTAAGTCATGCAGAAAACTGCAAAATCAGGACGACTTTCAAAGAAAAATAATAAAATACAATCTAATTTAATGTTTGATGCAGAAGTCAGTAGGGATGTCTCGTTCCGATATTGATATCGGAAGTAATTCAATATCGGCCCAAAAACAGTGTATCGTATTATATCGGACCGCATCAAAAATCTATGATATAAGCAGTCTGTTAAGATTCACATTTTTGCAACCAGTGGTTAAAATTTTGTTCATTTTTTTTACATACTTACTGTTATTGGCTCTTGTTCACCGATTGAGTAATATCATTTGAACAAGCCTTTCATTCATTCCACACTACGAAATAAGAAAAAGTATGTATGATTTGTGCTGATATCGTATCGGATTGATATCGGTATCGGTCAACACTGAAGGCTGCGATATCGGTATCGTATCGGAAGTGAAAAAGTTGCATCGGGACATCCCTTAAAAGTCAGCATTTATGAGCTCATCTGGCTTTTTTCAAATTTATTTTGAAATTAAGATAAGAGATGAGATAAGATATTATTGATCCCACAGTGTTGCAACGGGACAGATAGCAAAAGAGTACAGATGTGACTAAAAATGCAAAACATAAAATAAGACTAGACACTAAATAAAACAGTAGTTCCTATGTAAACACACACACACACAGTAAGCATTAGGGGGTTGTGAAACATTGTGGAAGTAATATTTACATAAAAAGTATCAGCTGTTCTACTACAACTGCATGTTTAATAGACTTAAACTTTATATAAGATTATATCTAGTGGGTATTAAAAAATTACTTAATTTAGTTTAAAAACCAGACTCATAAATCAGCTGTTTTATTTATCTCCAAAAAGTGCGGTAATTACCTGAAATCTGGACTCGGTTCGGTCCGGATCACCATCTCTGCTACCATCCAGCAGGCAGAACGTCCTCCTGTCTGAGCCCTCCTCCGGTGCCGTTGCCGGTACCGGTCCTCAGCAGGAGCTGCAGCCTCTCCGGGAGTCGGGAGTCCAGCTGTTTGACCTCCCGTCTCTTTGCAGCAGCGGTGCGTCTCTGGTTGCGCGCGCGCACGCGAGCATATTATATATGTGTGTGTTTGCCCAGAGATTGGTTCCGTCTCTTCCTTTCTGTCCGGTAATAAAATCAGCTGCACCTGCAACTCTTTCACTTTGACAAAGACAGAAACTGGTGCAAACTTTATTTCTGCAGATCAGAACCAGAAACCACGGATTTATCTTCTCATCGTTTATTGTCCTCCCTTTCTGCTGAAAAGTGAACCTAAAGTTAAAACTCTAACGTTCTACTTTAAAAACAGGATTTTTAGCCATTTTTCAGTGTTGGTGTAAAAAACATGAAATGAATCCTTCTGAACAGCCTCAGTTAGGAGAAACGGGGTTTGTGCCACAGGTCATCAGTCCTTAATGATATACTATACATATCTGTAAAGCACGTTTAAACACAGCATGTCAGCTGACCGAAGTGGTTGAGAAGGAAGGACAAAAATACTACAAAGTTGAAATCCCCAGATAAACAGTGAGTGAAAACAAAGATTCAAAAGTGAAACACCTAAAACCCGAGCATAAAACAAGGCAGCATCAATTACATAGCAAAAAAATAAAACATATGGCAAACCAAACAATTAAAAATAATGTCAAGGCACAAAATGGAGTGCAAGAGAAGCAGTAAAATATACACCATTTTCACAAAAACACCAAAAAACAAAGCTTATTAAAAATTGAGGCCACATTCTTTTTGTATTTAGACTTTTTCCACATTTATATAATTTTTGGTCCATACAAGTCTTAACGGGATAGTGTACAGGCTTTAAGTGAGGCAGGGTGTGAACATGGTTATAAATCGCTGTAAATTTTACATCACATGATTGAGTTATTTTCTCGTGGGACCATGACTGTTGGTGGCATATTGCAGCCATTTGATATAATCAATAAAATAAAAAAAATTCCCTCATTAGTGTACACACAGAGCCCCCACCCCACCCCCCCACCCCCATCCCCAGCAGAAAAACACAGAAATGTAGAAATTTCTGCAGGTTTATTAAAAAAGAAAAACTGAAATATCACACAGACCCTTTGTGACACTCATACATTTAACTCAGGTGTTTTCCATTTCTTCTGATCATCCTTGAGATGGTCCTACAACTTAACTGGAGTCCAGCTGTGTTTGATTCTACTGATGGGACATGATTAGGAAAGCCACACCTGTATATGAGACCTTGTAGCTCACAATGCAGTGACGTGTGGTCAGAGGAGGCTGGGGAGGCACTGCCTTTCTCGCCATTGTGACAAGTGTTAATAGTGATTTAATATAAAGGGGGTGTGTCCACTCACTGCTCTATATATTAGTTTTCTGTATGATTTAATATTATCATGGTCAAACTATTTCCCTATCAAATGCAGAAGTGAGAGGGGAGACAGAGACAAGCTTGCCTCCGTTCTCATGGAGCTGCCCGCACGCATACACTGTAACAGGAAGTTGGCGCATGCTCACTGCTGTCTGTCTTTATACCACCAACATACCTGTTTTGTTTCACTTGTGCTGCACATGATGATGTTCTACAGTCTGTCTGATGAATTTAATGACTGCGTGTGGCAAAGTCTGTCTTTCTGAGTGGCCATAAACTTGCAGAGAAAATGCACTGGGAGAGGCAGGCAGTACCCTGCCTCACTGATAGGGGCAGTGCTGAGCCACATAGACACTGGTGCAAACTTAGCCTGGTGAACTAGACCAAATTCTTGCTTTGGAAAGTTTGGTCAAGGAACGCTCCACTGGAAACTCTGCAGCCCCTAGCAGCCTTCTGAATGGCCAATCACAGCTCTCTAGAGGGGTTTCAAACACATAGAGAGCTGTGATTGGTCCATAATGGTGGGCCAACCAAAGCACTCTATCTGCTTTGTGAACCAATCATAGCACTTTTTCCACTTTGTGGGCCAGTCAGGGCCCTCTAATTGTCTGGTCGGCGGGATGATGCAAAAGAGTGGAACAAGTTGGCAATAGCTAGTTTGAATTGGCTTTTATATCAATTTTGGACTATTTAGACTTTGGCTTTATTAGAATCAGGGGCAGATAGATGTATTTACGTTCTTTTTCCAGAAAAGCGCCTCGTTTACCAACGTCCTTTGCGGTGAGTATGTCGCGTTGTTCATTGTTCAGTAGCATGTGGAGATCGTTTGAAAGACAATGGTAGAAGCCGCTTCGTGACTGAGAGCCGTCAATGGAGCGTTGCCAAGCCAGATTAAATAATATATTTATTTAGTCTGGCTTGCCAGGCTAGTGCAAACTGGCTGCTCTAACACACACAGGGCGAGGGTGTGGAGCTGACAGGTCTATAAGGGTGGACTAGCTTAAATTTGTTCTGACTAAATGAAAGATTTCTTGCTCAAAACTGATGGATTTATTTAAACTGGATTTTCAGTCAGAACAGGAGATATTAGAGGATGATTTTTACATCTGAGTGATCATAGAGATGTCAGGTTTGTGGACTTCATTAAAGGTAAGATCATACATGATTTTACAGTGTGATAAAAGAGCTATGTTAAGAACAATGAATACATTTTGAAGCCAAATTTTCCCAAATATTAAATATTATTTTACTTTTCTTGTTAGTGTATTGTTGAATAGTATGGATAACCAAGAAATTTTACAACAACATCATCATCATCTATTTGTACGTGTGACTCCAGAGCAGTCAGTGCACCTCACCACATGTCACTGTCACAATGCATGTCAGAGCAAATGAGAATCATGAGGTCAGAGGGACTGCCTGAAGAGCTCAGAGACAGAATTGTTGCAAGGCACAGATCTGGTCATGGTTACAAAAACATCTCAGCTGCACTTAAGGCTCCTACGAGCACAATGTTCTCCATAATCCTTAAATGGAAGATGTTTGGGATCATCAGAACCCTTCCTAGATCAGATCGTCCAGCCAAACTGATGTACTGGAGGAGATGAGCCTTAGTGAGAGAGGTAAAGAAGAACCCAAAGATCACTTTGGCTGAGCTTCAGAGATGCTGTCGGGAGACAAGAGAAAGTTGTAGAAAGTCAACCATCCCTGCATCCCTCCATGCGTCTGGGCTTTAGGGCAGAGTGGCATGTTGGAAGCCTCTTCTCAGTGCAGGACACATGAAAGCCCGCATGGAGTTTGCTAAAAGACACCCGAAGGACTCCGAGATGGTGAGAAATAAGATGCTCTGGTCTGATGAGACTGAGATAGAACGTTTTGGCCTTAATTCTAGGCAGTATGAGTTGGTAAAACCTGTCACTGCTCATCACTTGTCCAATACAGTCCCCACAGTGAAGCACGGTGGTGGCAGCATCATTATGTAACGTGATGAAGGAGCTATTCCACCGAAGGTTATTTACCCTCTCTCCTCAGATGCTTCTGACACATAACTAATCTGCATGAGACTGCCTCAAGGTCATGCATTTGCTTCTAAACTGCTTCCTTTCCAGCTCAAGAGAAGAATGAAGACAAAGGACTCTTTTTTTAATAAATCAAAGGACTCTATTTTTAACAAGCTAATCAAACAAAGTGTTAGTCAATAATAAAATGTTGGCCAATCTGTCAAATGACAATATTATGATTAGTAAGTTTCAATAAGTAATATGACCTTAATCTAGCTGCACTAGACACCCTGATCACACGTAATGTAAACATATGACACATTGCTTTTACTCATCCAATCGGAACCTTCCTTTCTGAAGTGTGACATAGCATCTGTGGTGTTTATAAATCTGCCAACTTTGATTCGACCATAAATCAAAACATCCAGATTAATAAAAACCAGTCCCCACGCCATCTTAGTTCAGTTCTCTGAGTCTCTACAGTTCACTGCAGTTCTCCGCATTCTAAGCGAAGTATCAGACCGGCCACCCGGTTTTCCTTTTTAAGCAAAGAACCAACAAGCTGGATAAAAATTGGTTGCATTTTACCAACCAAGCAACGGTTCCTTTCAGAATAAAAGCTGAACTCACTGACCCTCCGGGTCCATCTGACGCTGTCAAACAACTGTCGCTTTTACCTGGAGACAATCCAAAGACTAGTCTGTCGTCCTGCTGACTCTGTTTCATTGGCTCCGGTACCGAAGGGGGTCAGAGGACCTGGCATTCTGGATCTGTACGGAGGTCTCATCCTAAGGGCATGTGTGGAGCGACAAGATGGCGTCTCATATGTGTATGAAACTCAGATCATAGCTTAAGAGCAAAACATCACAACCTCATTCAGACTTGCTTTTCCGGATACGAGAGTTCTGATGACAAACATCACTCAGACACACACCATTCATCTCATGTCTCATTCACACCAAGATCCATCCATTCACTTAGAATTTAGAGTTAGTCTTGTTTAAA